TAAAAAATGAAAATAAATCAAAAGTAAAATAAAATAAAATTATATTAAATATAGTAAAACAAAATAAAATGAATTAAAAGAATGAAATTTTATAAATATTTGTAATAAAGCAAAAAGGGAAATAAAATAAAATATAGTATAACAAAGTAAAATGAATTGAAAAAGTAAAAAATTTTATGAAAGAAATGGAATAAGTAAAAAGTGTATTAAATTAAATTATATTAAATAAAATAAAATAAAATAAAATAAAACAAAATAAAATAAAATAAAATCAAATAAAATAAAACAAAATATAACAAAAGAAAGGAATGCCATAGTATTTGAAGGGCTTTTAAAATACAGTGTGTTTCAAAAAGTGACTCGGTATGTTTTTTCTCTGCTTAAGTTTAGAGAATGCAACTTATGATGCTAAACGGGTAATTGAATGATGCGTGATTTTGAGAAATTATTTTCCGCAAAAAACCGCTCGGACAAAACTTTGAAAAATTAAAACTTTAAAATTTCTATTTACTAACCATCTCAGGACCGTGAACCTGCAGGAAAGAAAGATAATTTTTTTTTTACTTTTTCCAAAAAATTAATAATCAAAATAGCAAAAATGAAATTAATAAAACTCGGAGGGAAAACGGATCCCTTATTCCTCAAGGAGTTAAAGATCAAACACTTATACAATCTGTAGCACTCTTCTGCTAGTAGCAATAGCCCGGAACATTATATTAAGTTCGAAAACATTATCTCATTAGCTTTTCCATTGGAGGCGCAAGAGTTTTTTTGACTTAAAAGACGGATCTCTTCCGGAAGAAACTTTTTAAAGCTTTCTATAGATTTCATACTAGTTCGCACAGAATAAAATCTCTCGAATAATATTCATCAAACAATATTTCCAACAGACTTTTAGAGAATTTCAACGAACATTAAGTATTGAAGAAACAAGCCCATGCATTTTATTCCCAATTTCATTTACAATGGCATAGACGATACAACTCTAGAAAGCTTTAAAAAGCTTCTCCCGCGAGATATGTTTTGGTCGTGACTGCTCAAAGACTATAAATTGCCTTGCAATTAAAGCTAAAACTGAAGAAAATGAAAGTATTTTCCTAGAAATATTAATCGCGCCTTAAAAGTTTCCAGATTTTGGAACTTTTCATATTTTAAATTTTTTTATTATTGTTCGTCAATATTGTTGTCTGTGCGAAATGGAAAATTTTTTTTTCTTAAATAAGCTGTTTTTTGCTGTTTGTTTTTGGCAAAAGGTAAATCAGAATTTCATTCACCTTTTTACAGAAATTTCCAATCATCTGCGTTTATTGAATAAAATTAAATAAAAAAATCTGCGAACAATTTCATACACCCACATAAACATATGACTCAAACAAAATAAAAATGCTATAATAAAAATCATTAAATTCGCAAACAAAATTAAAAAGCATTATAAAAATGCGATACAAAAATAATAAAAATTTGCAAATAGAAAACGAGTAAAACATAGATCAAAAATTTAATTAAATAATAATAAATGTTGCGGCGTAATCAATTTGTCTGTATGTATGTAATAAAAATGTATTTTATGTTAAAACATAAACATATGTGCATATATAAATATATATGTACCTATGCATATGGGTATATATAGTAGATACATACATATGTCCATTAGGGTGCATCACCAAAAAATTTTTTAAGATTCCCGCCAAATATTTAGAAAAATATTAAGATGTATCTGAACTAGACTCATTTATTCGATTAAATTGGCCAAAGTTTTTAAATGTTTTTATGCAGACCTTTGAAGCTTGAAATTTTCTATCATCTGAGTTGATTTAAAAAAATATATATGTTTAAAAACAAATTTTAGAAATTCATAAAAACTAGATTTTTGGAGGTATTTTCAAATAGCTCCAGCTAACGACAATCTAGACATTTGTCCGAAATATTTTGGTGCAAGTCTTAATATGTAATAGATTTTATATTTCCAACGGAAAAGCGGTACAGATTTTTTTTGTGGGGAGTGATGCACCCTAATGTACATATGAATAAAATAAACTTTATAGGTGTAAGAAAATAGCTGTTTTGCGGCCCAAAAATGTACATAGTTAGACACATATACAGTCCTATGTACATATCATTGTATATGAAAAAATTTAATTGAAAATCGAAAAAAAAATCATTTAAATAGTAGGAATCACCAAATTGTGCAATAATAAAAATGAACGAAATTGAAATCCATGCGAAAAGTAATTGCATAAATCAATGTAAAAAATTTACAGAAAAACATACTCGTAATGAAAAAATAAAAATAAAAAAAATAAAGAAAAAAAATGTAATAAAGATCTAAAATATAGGCTTTTTTGTAAATTTTTGCAAGGCTTACGTTTCCTATTGATGTAAAATAAAAAATATCAAATTTTTATAAATTTGTAAATATTTATTTTAGCTTATAAGAGAGAACGATTTTGTTAGGCTAAGTTGACATTTAGCAGATAAATTTGAAAATATCAAAAAAATGAATAAAAATAAAAATTTGTGATATTACACTAAAAACCGATGGGCGAAGGAGGCGAATATAAATTAATACTAAAAATGTGCAAAACAAGCAAAATATCAGAATCAAATCAAAAATGTAAAATAAATAAATTAAAAAGCTACAGACAAATTTTGTAGGTGCAAAAAAACGCAACTAATACATAACACAGCTGTTGCCAACGAACAGCTGCTGATAACCGTTAGC